AAAAATGTGGTTAGCAGCAACGCAAATAAGTAAATAAACAAATAATAGAGTAAATAAATTACGGTGGAAATCCAGTCAAGAGACTTCTGTCTGAGTAAAGTCGCTACCCCTCCTCTGCGCTGTAGGGTTCAATGTTAGAGATGAGGCGTGCCTCCCTTGCCCAAACCCCCCCCCCCCTTCCTCTAAAGTGCCTAATGACATCTTTTCTGTCTTTTGGATCCGTTTTCCGCTAAACTTAATGAATTTGACATCTCTTATGTACTGCTACTATTATTGGCTATGCAACATATTGATCTCTTAACTGAGTACTTCAGACTTCTAAACCTGTGGATTCAAAGCAGCGACCTGATTGAAGATCATTTTTTAAATCGCATTATTCGAAAGCTTCACTCACTATAGCTGAAGCCATCACCGGTAACGAAGCAATCTTTCAGAAGCCTCTACAGGTTTTAGAAATTGTAGGTCATCATTGACACCCCCACAGAAAGGCCCTCGTCGTCACATCCAGTCTAGTGACTGAAATAGTGAATAATTTTCACTGTTGATTTCATTTTTTGCCAACATTTTCTAAATATTGGTTCGGAACACGTAGCTATTCTTCAACGGCCTGCTGAGGATAAACTACACTCGCATTAAAATTCGTAAAATCGATTGAAATATTTTCTGAATTTAAGAAGGTGCTGGACAACAATTGAAGAAATGATGATTTATTCTTTCGATTCACTTTCCTACTTATAGGCGGACCCAGATGGGTCGGCTACACTGTGCCGGACCGGTTCGTACTTTCTATGTACACTACAGATGCTGATGTTATACTTATCTTTGCCCACCCATCTTTCTTAAAACGGGCGTGCGACTTTGTTACTCGAGTCACCCGGTAAATATCGCAATATCTTACGATTGAAATTGTGCCCAATTTATGTGTTCCGAATGACTTTTTCAGACATATCTTTCATCTTTTAAGTCCTGTACAGCTGATGGAAGTACATAGTTCTGCAGCGGATGGCGAATATGATCACCTTTACCAGGCATTCACCCTACACAAGTGAATGGATCCTAGCTAGGTAGGTTTAATTTCCCTTTCGCGGTAGTATATAGGAGGTGTACGTACGTGTACGTGGGTGCTAAAATCGCTGTGAGAAGATAGGGGATCTTGCGAGCACGTCGGAGCTATTGAAACTACGTGTCATGGAATTAACTAGTTTGAACGTTCTCATAGGAATGACTGGCTGTGGGCAAAACGCTTGGCTCCAGATGAGGCTTTATCCCGGACTTGACGAGACCATTATAAAAAGCACCAAGTCAAAGCAGATAGTTGAATATGTCGTTTCGCCATAAACAAATCGATGTACTTGCCGTTTCTCGATTCTTCCCAGAGTTTAGATAACTTGTATAAGATTTGATGGGGTCAAATTTGGGACAGTTCATATGGAATAGAGATACATCTCTCATCTCAACTAGGCACCTTCAACGTAGGAATTTGGTTCGTAGAGTAATCTGAAAGGTTTCAGTTTAGCACTTCATCAATCTCGTAGAGTAAACTCTGTTGTGTTGAATATCCTCCCAGAAAGGATTCACGCATTCTTTCGCTTACATGGGAGGTATCCAATCGTCGTTGCTGTCAATCATTGCGGAGAGGCCTTGAGCAGTAGGCCGCTTCCACTTCGTAGTACTCTCCATTAAAATATAAAAACCGAATCTCAATCGCTGCACTCGCTTTTATGAGTGTGGCTAGGCATCGCCCAACGAGGCCATTACCAAAGGAGGTCCACTAATTTTTTTGATACAAGGCAACCGTTTATTTTACAAAATACCTATATCAAGTCAAGGTGGTGTGGTGGCTCATTCATCGGAGCAATCGTGATTTTGTTCGATCCAGCTCTGTAGAAGCTGGGGCAGTTCTATCGTACCACGTACTGGCTTCCCACTATGTCCTCGAGGGAGGGTTGTCGTGCAGAATGCTCTCGCCGTTTCACTTAATTCATCCTTCTTCTTCAATACTGAATTGCTTTTTTGAGTTCGTAAGTGTCACTGTAGCTGTCAACTGTTGACCTTTTTTGAGTAGGCTTCCACAGACCACTGATCCAGTAGCGCACAAAAGATTTCGGCCAAGTAGTTTTTTGGCCGTAACTTTTTTTCTCAGAAGAGCCAAATCGGGCGGAATTTTGATGCGTATAACTAAAGCATATTTAACACTATCCAACACCACTTGACTGCGAAGCAGCAATATCCATCCAAGTGAGGGGAAGGTGTTTGTTGCGGTAGCCGACTTCGCTATAAGCAAAGTTGGGGACGTCTGTAGTTATTCCCACCTTATGAACGTTTTTCTCCTCTACTGTGTTCGGCATTAGCGCTCGTACGCTTTGGACATGACAAAAAGGAAAGAAGTTCTAGAAGGAGCACCATTCGTATTTTCAGTTGATTTTAAGTACAAGCTCTTTGGAATATCTGGAACATGATCATATTGCAGGTTAATAGTGGTGAATATTCACAATATACCCATGCTACACATTTTGAAATTTCGCATGATTATATCCAGTAGTTACGACTGAAAAGTGCGACTGAGGAAGGATTTGGCCGAAGACTTTCGAGCGTTACTGTATGTATTTTTTCCGGTTTCAAAATTCGATTAAAATGGTCCTGCCGGCTGTTTCATTTGCTTCTCCGACGACTTGTCAGTTAATCACATGCTTCTTGGTTGACGAAACAGCAATTCCGCCTGTGATCCAGGTGAAAAATGAGGATCAACTTTTTTTTTCCTGAAAGTTATGGGCCCAATTGTTGTGTTATGACCGCTGTGTATCTGTACCAGCGTATACTTACCTAGAGTCAGTCCCTACCCTGCTGTTGAGCTCATCGGGCGATACCAGCGTATGCAAAAGTGATAAACCAATGTGACGACCATGTCAAAGATAAGGCTAGGATAAATTTTCTAGCTTATATTGGTGTCACTCTCGGAAATCCGGTATTATCTGGTACTGTCAACTGGTACGATAGTTGGTCAGCATGTGAAGCGACAGATCCAAAAAACTTTCGGCCCATCTCCACTTTCTGGCCCCTTCCTCTTTAGGGGCTCCATCCGGTAGGCTTTGCGAGTGCTACGTTTGTCAAGAAGAAACTGCAGCTTGATCTAATTACTCTTCAACAATCTAATTAGTTCCAGCATTTACGTCTGCACCATGGTTACGTTGTTCTTTGGTTGTATTTGAGGCGGTCTTTGAAATTGGCCAACATTGAAGTGTTGATGGTCAGGTAAAGTAGAGGGTCCCGCATCGAAAAGCCTCTCTCTCTCATTCTTTGTTAGCACTAAAATCGAGTCCCTGTGCCTGAAAGATGCATCCTAGCGACAAAGTGCAATAGCCGTTTTAGCTGTAGCAATTAGCGATGGTTTCGGGATGATTTGTAGCCAACGTTTCTGCCCAGTTCGCTCTCCTACACCTCTATTGATTCGGTTCCCCGTGACGATTCACTTTCCCAGATACGCATCCCAAAGGCTCCACCCATGAGTACAATTTTGGATATGGTGGCCAGGGAGCTTTCCAGGTAGGAACCACGGCTTTCGGCATTTTCGGATAATTACCTTCTTTCCCACTATGCTTCTTGCCATGTCTCTCCGGCTTGTCTTTGTGATTATACGCTTCACCGCATTGACGTCTCCCACCCCATTTACTTCCACGGTTACTCGCCAAGGCTGCCGACAACCATTACCGAATGGCTTCTGATGAACTACTTGTCAGGCTCCCGTCGGTTTCAACTCAGCCCACTACTAGCCATTTCTTTCCAGTAATAGAAGTTATAGTTTTCTAGGTGCTTTTACTTATGACTAGATTTTGAGTTGAATGACCTCTGAACCAGTCATATCTGGTGTTGAGACTTAAGGCTGTAGTCACTTCGGGCGGGGTTTGGAGTTTTAATAGTGAAATGTTGTTCCCTGACAAGGGAGACGGCGTAATTCACATTTAAGGCAAAAACTTGTCGAGTAATAGTAGGGGACCAAGTGCAGTCGAGATGGGGGTTCCGTTTCCTCGAGTTCGCTCCGCCTCTGGGTGACGTCCTGAAGGA